TCGAAATAATTTGGCTTATTGCGAACCCCTTGTTGGATACCTATCTCCCTCGGTAACCACTTCTCTCTGTTTCTCGCTGTTTGTTTCGAGATTATTCGTACTTCCCTCAACTGTTCTCGACATTTTGGGGTTTTCCTTACTGGTATTCGAAGGTTTTCTGTCGGGTATCAACTCATCAAGATCGTTGAGGTTATTATCATTGCCTTGGAAGTTGTCGATAAATTTCACACAACGTACCTTTTCTATCTTGTCTAATTCTGGATAGTATATCAAGTAAGATGGGCTATCTCTGTCGTACCCTATAAATATACCTTTACGGCTCTTCGCATTTATTTTCTTGGTATTTTGCATAAAAGCATAGCATGTCGTGCCGAATACATGCATATTATTCAAATCTGGTTGCTTACCTGTCAACGCCTCAAATGGTGTCTTCTCTAAGCGTTGGTTAAAACATCTGTTTCTTATGTAGGCTGAAGCCATTACGGCGTACGTCCACAACCTTTTCGGTAGTTGTGCCTCTAACAACAAACACCTAGCCATGCTAAAAAGACTTCGCCACGCCCTTTCAGCAGTTCATTTTGGTGCGGGGAATATGGGGCACTTGTCTCGTGTCTCATTGCCTGCTTCCGTAAGAGAGATTTGAATCCTTGACTCGTAAACTCACCACCGTTATCGCTTCGTATCCTTTTAACTTTGCCATAAGGCGCAACATCAGCCAAAAATTTTTCTGTGCCTTCTAAAGTGTCGCTCTTTCGCTTTAAGAAATAGATCATGTTGATACTTGCATAATCATCTATAAAAGAAAATGCATATTTAAATCCGTCTTTGGCAACGGGCTCAATTAGTCCGGCCAAGTCACTGTGAACGAAATCCAAAGGTCCTTTAGCCCTCTGATCTGGCTCTCGGTTTCTACTCTGACACATCTTGCCTTAAATGCATACTTCACAATCTATCTCTCTGTGGTCTGTGATTTTCATACCTTTGACTACCTGTTCTAACTTCCGTACATCTCCAAAGTTACAATGGCCTAAAATCCTGTGCCACTCATTAATGGAGGTAGCATTGTTACACGAAGAAGAGATACTATTTAAATAGTACAAACGCTCTCTCTCTTCTATCTCAAATACCTGACCTTCAGCTGTAGTGTATTTACTTACCTGTTCTCCTAAAGCAACCGATCCTCCTCTACCTATTTCTGCCGAAACTGAAAAAATATTTTGACTGTTGGACGGTATATAAAGTGTGTCGCTTAGCATTAGATTTTGTACATTACCCCTTACATCAAACAATTTAACCATTGCATTTCCCTTTCCTAAAACTACGTTAGCCTTGCTTCCGTCTGCAAGTTCTATAAAGTGTCTGTTTGGATCAAAGTTTTTTTCAAAGCTTACAAATCTAGACCTATCATTAATTATGTGGCTGTCGCCCCGGTGTCCACGAGAAGCTTCGAATTCTTCGTGCTCCTACCTTTACCATCTTTTAACGTAAATGCGAATGAATGTTCATCCAAATCTTAATTCTTCACTTGTCCGTTGATAAGCTTTGCTGCGTCCTTCTTTGCGGCTCTACAATCTCTTGTATTGTGGGTCTTGGTTCGACATTTGGCACACTATTTTTCGCTCTTTAGCCAACATTCAGAACTCTTATGGCCTTTCTTATCAACATTGGAAGCATTTTCCGTCGAATTTCGTCTTGGCGGCAAAGATCACGTTGTCTTTGCCTTCCGTACTATGGCAACTCTTCTCACTTTCTTCGTAGTTTCGCAGCGCTGTTTTAAATTCGCTGAATGTCATCTGCTTTTCACGTTGAATTATTACCGTAGAGAATGTTTTATAGTTCCTTGGGAGACCTTTTAAAACCATAGCAATTAGTAAACCGTCGCTTATTATTTCCTCCGCTGCTTTGGGTGCTGTCGCCGCGGTCTCCGCGCGTATGATGTAGTCCGTTGTGGACTCGCTTTCTCCTTTCCTCAGTGAAGTCAATTCAGTGTACAGAGCTATAATTCTAGGTTTTTCTTTTCCTTGATAGTGTTCTCTCAGCACGGTTAAAACCTTTCGACCATCATCTTTTGCCTCTCGTATCACTAGGGACAAGCTTCGGTCGTCTAAACACTGTACAAGTTCGGCGAAGGCATCAGCATTCTTCGACTCATCTAGCTCACGCTTATCGCTTCTAGGCACAAATATATTGTAAAGTTTTTCGATCCGCATAAACGATAAAAACTTTACCTCCCATAATTCGTACTTTGGTTCGTTTCCATCGAAGACCAGAGCTCTCCTGGGCCCATAACCTGTTGAGGTTTGTACCGTTGACATCGCTCTTTTGTGAATATACGAAGTACAACATTCAACTTAGGAGTTTTACAAAGGAATATATTTTAATCATTCAAAATCACTCATATATATACAGAATTATATCTATGTTAGCTATTTGACATATTACTATACAATTACTTAATGGTTTCCGTGTTTGGATGGCCTGATCCAAACACGCGGGAATGTTGCGAGAGTTAAGAAAAGCGCGCGAAACACGAGCCGAAGGCGAGTGTTTTGCGAGCTTTTCTTAACTCGAGCAACATTCCCAAGTGTTTGGATCAGTTCATCCAAACACGGAAACCATTAAGTAATTGTTTTATAAAATAACAAACCATAATAAATTTGTTTTTAAATTCCCGCGAAATTTCCGTGTTTGGATGGCCTGATCCAAACACGGGCTTCAACCAATCAGAACACGCGTTATATACATGTTATTTTATAATATACAATTACTTAATGGTTTCCGTGTTTGGATGGCCTGATCCAAACACGCGGGAATGCTGCGAGAGTTAAGAAAAGCGCGCGAAACACGAGCCGAAGGCGAGTGTTTTGCGAGCTTTTCTTAACTCGAGCAACATTCCCAAGTGTTTGGATCAGATCATCCAAACACGGAAACCATTAAGTAATTGTTTTATAAAATAACAAACCATAATAAATTAGTTTTTAAATTCCCGCGAAATTTCCGTGTTTGGATGGCCTGATCCAAACACGGGCTTCAACCGATCAGAACACGCGCTATATACATGTTATTTTATAAATTTCATTACCATGCAAGCTTTACAATTTTGATGCATGCAAAAACTATTTTTATGTTGGTGTTTCTGGTAGTCAGAGATTACATTCTTTCATACATGACATTGCGGTTCAGTTATGTTAATTAATATTATATTGAATATTTAGAGCATATCTCAACAAGAAGCACTATCACATGTGCAAATTGTTCCAAAATTGTCCCTTAGCAAAAGCCCTTGAAGCTCTTGTTTCCTCTTAAAAATTAAATTTTGTTAAGCAAGACAATTTTGAAAACTTAAATTACCAGTATGGAGATTTATAGCATCGCAAAGGTCTTAATAGTTGCATATTGTGAGACATGTCGCAGTGCTCGGAAGCTTTCGTCCAATTGGATGATGCTTTTCTACGCTTTCTAAAGAACGAAGCTATGCTATTGGTTAAAACAGAAATGTATTGTAAAGTTCACCCAATGAAAATCATTCTTGCGAGGAGCTGCGACACTACCCTATAGTGTAACGGAGCCTTCATTACCATTTACATTAATTTTGCAATTTATGCAGCGATTCTCGGTGCAATTTTCTTCTTTATCGAGAGGACTGTTACGAATATCACAGTATAATGAGAGGACTATAGGAGGCGAAATCAGCAATGTAAGAGTACTTGTTACTGTGGAAAATTACGCAATCAACTGGTCAATAGGCGGATAAGCCACCCAGTATAGCGTGTTTATTGGTCAAAAAATGTCATCAACTGCCTTAAAAAGTGAACATGCACAACTGCATTTTTACTAACGATTAAGGTGGTCTTCTGGTCTCTCATCATTCTATTTGCATCTTTCAAAAGATTACTGGTTAACTTAAATTTCCCGCGCTAATGGCACTCTACGATTGAGACATCTAAAGTAGGTAAGGTAGGTAGGTAGGTAAAACGTTACTTAAAACAAAGAAACACGCCAGCCCCATCAACTCTAGGTTGGTTTCCATGAGGGGCGTGTTTAAATATTAAAAGCAGTTAATAAGACTACAAAACTGGTCAGTTAGACACAGACAGTTTCACACATAGATAGATTATATGGATATAAGTAGGAAGCGTTTCAGTGTCAAAAAACAATTGATTTAAACAAACGAAGCGACTCAGCTGATTTTGCTTCGTTTGGGAGCCGATTCCAAAGGCAAATACATCATTTTAATTTTTACTACGCTCTGCTGACTTCTGTTAACATTTTGAGCACTCTTTGTTACTTAACATCTCTCAAAATTACAATTGCATTGGAAATTGCAAGGAAAATTGCGAAGTCTATAACAGTTCCTTGTATTATTAGAAGCTTTGACTTGTTGTAATTTTAATTGGAAATTTCATGACTTTTTTTAAAATAAGTTCTTTCAAAGTTTTTATAGCGGCTGTAATATTAATTTTTGACATTTGGACAGCACGCGAATTTTGTTTTGCTGAGGTTTTGTTCCGTAAAGGCTGCTTTATACGCACGTACACGAAAGTAAAATAGCGTTTGGCGAAAATAAAATTGCGTTTGGCGAAAGTATAGACTAAAGTAGCGTTTAGCGAAAGTAAAACAGCGTTTGGCGAAAGCATATCGAAAAAGCACGTCGGCGAAAGCTAAAATAAAATGGAGTTTGGCGAAATAAAAAGTAAAATGTGATTTGGCGAAAGTAAAAGTGAAATGGAGTTTCACGAAAATAAAAATAATTTTTTCGCCGAACGCACTTAGCCGAGAAGGCTCAAATCCGCCCCAGGCTTCCCGCGTATTTATCAAACATGGCGGACGCAATGGAAGCAGATCAACCAAACAACGAAGATGTTAATAATCATGTTATACTCCCTCGTGATGTCACAAGAGGTAAAGTTGCGTGTTATTTTTATATTGATTAATATACATTTATTAAACACTACATAGATGAGCGTTATTTATATTAACAGAGATGCTTACTATTTTGGACATGGTTAAAAAGATTAAAACAAACGAGACAATTTTACTATATCTGCGCGAGGAATTTGGCTGCGAATGGAGGTTAGTTGGAATGTTTTATAATAGCAGCATGTAATGGAATAAGTTAAATTATTCATGAGAATAATTAATGAACCAAAGAGCAATATGCAAAATGCAGTGTGATACTGTATGAGTGTATGTGAGAATGGACTATTTCAGGATTTCTTTAGGGTAGGCATGTTCATATTAAAATTGAAGACGGTTTTCATAAAAACAGGGGGGCATGTAAATGAAATTGAATAGCCAATTGTTTAGTTATATTTCAAATTGTGTAGTTTATCGACACTGAAGAGACGTTTGAAAGCAATGAATATCAAGAGACATGATCAAACCATATCCCCACAACAAGTGATTAATGCTATTCAGGTGCATTCACTATAATATTACCAGCCAATTTAGTAAACTAAACCAGGAATGAAATGCCACTTCTACATTTTGTTGGTATAGATTGAAAATCAGGGAGTTAGAACAGTGATTGGGTACAGGCATATGCAGCAACGTCTTCGACTTCGACATGATCTATTAGTTAAAAGGTTTGTAACAATTATAATTTTCATGGTCTGTGTAGTTCATTATACTATTTGTGTGTATGCATATACATCATACTGTATATGTGCATATTAAACTTACTCTACTTTTAATAGGGATGATGTTTATCAAGGCATGTTGTATGTCGATCCCGAAGGTGTCAGAAGGAGAAAGGCTAATGTGTTAAAGCGACGGGATTATGTTTCAGTGGTAAGTCAACAACAATATATGTAGGCATTAATTATAACCTTGTTTATTTTTAATAAATCCCAATTAATAATTATTTATTTAATTGTGTTTAAAATGACAAAACTATCAAACATGTGCAGGGAAGTAGCTGGATATGGCATATAGATGGCCATGATAAAATGAAACCTTATGGCTTCACAATCAATTTTTTCCATTCTTGTGCTCTCAAAATGATGAAAAACACGAAAATCTGAGGGTTTCGATAACCGTCACTCCCGGTCAAAAACAATGAGAAATATTTGGCCGCGCGAGTTAGGGGAATGAAACTGACGTACTATAGCGCTTCAATTTCCGCCATCTTTGGCTTCACTTTTTGCACCCAAAGTTCTTACTCCAGATATATGTGGAGCTCACTGATTTGAGCCTTCTCGGCTAAGTGCATTCGGCGAAAAAATTATTTTTATTTTCGTGAAACTCCATTTCACTTTTACTTTCGCCAAATCACATTTTACTTTTTATTTCGCCAAACTCCATTTTATTTTAGCTTTCGCCAACGTGCTTTTTCGATATGCTTTCGCCAAACGCTGTTTTACTTTCGCTAAACGCTACTTTAGTCTATACTTTCGCCAAACGCTATTTTATTTTCGCCAAACGCTATTTTACTTTCGCCAAACGTTATTTTATTTTCGCCAAACGCTATTTTACTTTCGCCAAACGCTATTATACTTTCGTCAAACGCTATTCTATTTTCGCCAAGCGCTGCTTTACTTTCGCCAAACGTTGTTTTATTTTCGCCAAAGGCTATTTTTCTTTCGAGGGGTGACCCTCCTCGGCTTCCATATCAAAGGGGTAACTTTTGCTAAACATCCGTCGAAGCACAGAGTCAAATCTATATGCCTTCCGAAAGACGAAAACGGACCGCGGCACGAAAACGCCAAGATCCTGACAAAGTAACTGAGCCTTCTTTAGAAGATTTGCGGCGCCAATGTCGCGACAAAGGTTTGTCTGATCATGGCCGTTGCAACGCACTGATCGAGAACGACAAAGAGCGAACAACCGCTCTTGACCGACGCGCAGTTGGCGCAAATCGAAAGCTTGATCGCCAATACCGTTCAACAGTCAGTCAACGAAATTGCCACTAACGCGGCCCGAGCAGCTGTCCAAGCGGTCACAAGCACGCTTCGCTGCTTCTAATTTCGCCGGTCACAGCTACCGCATTGGCGCTGCTACAACTGCCGCTTCAGCCGGCTTACCCTCTTGGCTTATAAAAACACTGGGTCGTTGGTCTTCGGATTGTTACGAACGCTATATTCAAACTTCGTCTTCAACATTGTCAAACTTCGTCTTCAACATTCTCAGCCACACTTGCAAAGATTTGAAATAACCAATGTATCGTGTACACAAAATTTTTTTCAGGGGGGGTTCGTCTATGGGGAATACGCATGCTGCGTATTTGTGGGGATAGAGTGCTCCCAAAGGTCACCCTCTACCCCATAGACTCGCATAAATCTACATGCATTTTTGTCTATACCTAAGTAAACAATGACCATCATGGGGATCCACGACCCCTTTGGACATTTAGGATACCTATCTGGGGAGCTATGACCCTTCTTGGGTGAAGTACAATACTGGGGAGCAGCTGCTAAACCCCTGAGGACGTCCAACATGGGGATCCACGACCCCTGAGGACATCAGAGTCCTTGGCCAGGACTACATAATTAATTGTACCATAAACTATATGCATAAAGCTGTAACGAGTATAAGGGGTAACTTCGACCTTATATTATATTACAGCCGGGCTAGCTCGGCAGTGTCAGGATCTCGCGTCGCATATTATTTTAAGATATTTGTAAAATTGCATTCAAATAGAACCCGGCCAGTCCGGCTGTGGCAGGATCCCGCCTGAACGAAGCGAGATCTCGCCTTTAACGGACCCATATGAAAACATCAAGCGGATCAGCCCGGCTGAACCGGGCTACTTACAGCCCGGTAAGCCCGTAAGTGATGAGACTGCGCATGCTCATGTTTCCTGTATTAAATTCAAAATGGGGGCTAAACAACAAGGCAAAAGAAATTAATTACACGATCTCATATGAATGCGAATACAAGTTGGCCCGACAAAAGCGAGCCAGCCCTGCTAGACTGGCCTTCTCATATAAACAGGCCCTAAGTCCCAGGGCGTTAATGTTAACGGAGGCGTAAATGTTCATATTAAGGTGGCTCCATACAGTTTTAAGAATATTGAAAACAAATGATTTATATTGAAATTTTTGGCAGGAAATTTTTTGCTAAACGAAATGAAATTTTCCAGATAAATTAACCAAAATTCTAACAGTCGAAAATTGTCTTTGAATATCACGTCATTACCGTTGTTATGGTAACAATGGCGATTCAATATGGCCGTCATTTTACCTATTTACGCATTTTACTCGAAAACAAGTTCGGTTACCCCAATTTTTTATTTTATAAAACGTTTTCTTACAAAAAAATGGGAAATTTGAGCAAGTTTGAAAAAATTCTATAGAGCCAAAAAATTTCTATAACGAAAAATCACTGGTTCAAATTTTCCATTTTTTTGTAAGAAAACGTTTTATAAAAGAAAAAATTGGGGTAACCGAACTTGTTTTCGAGTAAAATGCGTGAGTAGGTAAAATGTCAGCCATATTGAATCGCCATTGTTACCATAACAACGGTAATGACGTCATGCTTATGGGCAATTTCTGACTGTTAGAATGTTGGTTAATATATCTGGGAAATTTCTTTTCCTTAGCAAGAAATATCGTGCTAAAATTTTAAATCAAAACCACAAGTTTTCAATATTCTAAAAAATAGTAGGGAGCCACCTTAATACACGTTGATAATTTTGTCATTACTGAAGTTGGAATGTTATAAGCTAATGACCGTGAAATTTTGTCTCAGTAAAAATGTTTTGTTGTTGCGTAGAAATTAATTATGTTTGACCATCCATACTACGAGTTCCTTAACTCGAATCGGGTGCTTAACTCGAATGATAAAATCGTGTTTTGAACTTTGAGTTAAGGCCTCTACAAAAAAGCGCGTGTCGTGGGCGTGGTCACGGCTAAACTCATTGTCTGAGGGCTATCTACATGATCCTGCTTAACCCAGATTTAATACAGCGCAAAATGACCTTGAGATATTGAAATGAACAATAGCATCAGCTTGTTTAGTTTCAATAAATACCTATTTCAATAGCTCAAAATCATCTCACGCTTCGTTAAATCTCTGGAAGCCGGGCTCAATAGTGAACAAAAATAGAATATAAATAAAAGAATTTAAATATAAATAAAGAACAAATAAAATATATCATATAACGAAATTCGTTGGCCAAATTAGTTGACTTGTTACGATACACACCATAACAAATCTCGAATACAAAAAATTACTCAATAAAAACATGCCCAACAGAAATTCATCACTGATCCAACGACGTGGATAATATGTATGAAAAGTAAACGGCAACTCCAGCTGTAGTCTAAATTTGATTTAGGCAAAAGGCAAGGCCGTTTTGGGGGGTATGAACCCTTTTAACCGACTGGTTAACTAATACGTACCGATTGAACACTATAAAATATCCTAGTGGTTTAGAGTTTTTGCTAAGAGGTTAAAAAATTGACTATTGAAGCTTTGTTGACCGCTTCCTACATGCTTTCTTCCGACATGGAAAGGCTGTCTATAAGACCGAGATAAATACATTAACTCATTAGGAGCTGTTTCTACGCCCAAATATTAGTTTGAAATACATTTGAACCGAAAACGCTGCCTGTTCCCACTTCCCATAGGCCATAGGAATATAAATTAATACAATATTTGCGACAATTCGCGGCCAGACTTTGAAATTTTAAGGATTTTAGCCCCTGACCTATACTAGATAGGTCAGTGATACTTAAAATAGGTCAGCATGCTCTTTTTAGCTTTAGTGGTGAGTTTGGTTCTTCTTTTACAGATTCAAATTTAGTGCATAGCTGGAATTGCTCATTTCGTTACCTATTAGTTAAGATTAAATATTGTTTTGAAGAAAGGCAAACTGTTCAGACCTTCAAGGATCTGGGCATTGGACAGGCTTTTGCTCCCCGAGACGAATCTGCTGTGCCCAAAGTGATAAAATTAACTGCATTATCAAATGTAGAAGATCCAGGATACAGTCTGTAGTCAGCTTCTTGCATCAGAAAATAGTCGAGAAACATAGTAAACTGTCCCGCATCCCCGTTAC